ACGCGGGGGAGGAAAAACGACACGCAGGGGGGGGGCAGAGCGCACCCGGGGGGGTGGCGGGGAGAAGAGGATCGCGCGGAGAGGGGGGGGGAGAGTAGCGTGCAGGAGTAGAGTGCACGGGGGGAAGGCAGCACGCGCGCTGAAAGAGGAAGGGTGTGAGTGGGGCAAAGAAGGGGAGCAACGGGGGAGGGCGCATGGGGGGTTAAAAAGCTTCGCGCGGAGGGGGAAAGCAGATCGCGCGCGGGGGGGGGGTAGAATGATGATGATGATGAAGATTGATGAGGGGGGGAAGGGGGCGGGGAGGGAAGAATGATGATGATGATGAAGATCGAGGCGGAGAAGGGGGGGGTCGATATCGAATTGATTTCGATTTTGAATCGAAATCGATTTGATTTCGGGGTTCCAATTTCAGAGAACGACCAGGGGGGAAACGATGAGAACAACGAGGGGGGAAACGAAGGGAGAAACGACGGAGAAGAAGAGGGAAGAAAGAGAAGAGAAAAGAAGGAAGAGAAAAAGAAATAAATAATAACGTACCTGCGCGTAGTCGTCGGCAATCCAGGATCGTTGATGACGTGGCAGCGACGGCGATGACGTGACGACGATGACAATGACGTGGCAATATCAACGATGAAGACGTGGCAATGATGACGTGGCAGTGTCGACGACGAAGATGATGATGACGAGGCTGCTCAACGTCGATCAGGTTGGGCGGGAGGGCAATCGACGCCGCTCTGATACCAGTGTGACGAGGCAGAGGCAGAGCAGCGAGGCTGGGAGAGAGAGGGAGAGGGAGAGCACACACACACGCTCACTCAGCTCAACGCAGACTCGACACGACTCGACGGACGCAGACACAAAGTGCCAAAGTCGCAAAGTCGCAGTCTTGAATTCCTGAACACAATGTCGCAGCAAAGTCACACTGAACACAAGCACTGAGGCTGAAAACTTGTTGTCCATACTAGGCTTGAGTCCGTACATAAGTACCGGACTCAAGTCCGGTCCTGAGAGCAAAAGTGAAAATGCCTCAGGGCCAGAACTGAAAATCGAAAGACTGAGAGTGGCCCCAGAATATCAGATGGCGCTAAGTGTCCAAAATCCAAAAGTCCTAAAAGAAGGGTTTTGAAAACGGGCGCCAGGGTGCAGATGGCGCCAACTGTCTGAAATCAGAAAAAGCAAAAACAAAGGAAACAAAACAAGTAAATTGTAAAAACAAAAAAAAAGAATAAATACAGCAAGCTGGCGAGTGGTAACCCGCAGACCAGGGATCGAGTCCTGGTGGAGTCCGTAACACCCACTATCATCATTAAAACTTGACCGTAGAAAAAATTGGAACTTACCATTGTATCACCGCAAGCAAGAGCTATCCAGCATGCGCCTCTGTCAGGTTTTTCAAGGTCCCCATTTTTCGCCACTTGTGCAAGAGGATTTCCGCTTTCCATCTGGCATTGTTCCACAAGATATGACCAGAAGTTATTGCACCGCATGTCTCAATTTCCAACTAGAACTAACACAAATCCAATCAAGCAAATGCAGGCTAGGGCAGCTATTCAAGCAAGAGCTGCAGAGCAAAGACGTGCAGAAGCAAAACGGTTCTAACCATACTTGCGGCGCATCGACATGCGCTGCACCCCGCACACGCGCCGCACCGCGCACGACGCGCGCGCACGGGGTGCGGCGCACCCCGAAAATAAGGGGTCGACGAAAAAAAAACAAGTTGCCGAGGGGTGTTCTAGGCCCGGGTGGGGTGTCGCGTCATGAACCACACACAAAAAAAAAGACACTATTTGAGGCCGCGCGGGACCTCGGAAAAAAAAAGGGGGGGCAGCTGAAGTTAGTTTGTTTTTGAAGTTTTGAATTCGGAATGCTGCCCCTCGCTGCCTGGATGAACCCAGGTAGTCCAGCTTTGTGCCCTTCGCGCCCGTCGTGCGTTGCCCGTCGCATGGTTGCCTCCACGTCTCCTGTGCAGCAGCAGCAGTCGAAGGCGTCGTCGTCCAGCCATAGCCAGGGCGCAAAGTCATCGTGAAGGAGCCGAAGAAGCAGCGGGAGGAGCGCGGCGTCAGCTCGTAAAGTTGCCAGGTGGGTAACCACCAGCCCCTCTCTCTCTCTCTCTCTCTCTCTCTCTCTCACACACACACACACACACACACACACACACACACACACACAAATGTGGCAGTGTATATTTCCATGTTGTAGCGGTAGATTCATTCAATTTTGCTCATCCTGTCGATGGAAGTACAGGAGGCCAGCCGCAAATGTTGGAGACTTACCTGCTCTCTCTCTCTCTCTCTCTCTCTCCCGACTTCTTCCGCCGCTTCCCACCATCCCGCCTTCGGCTTTTCTCCCGCCATCTCCCACAGTCGGCATTTCTCCCACCATCCCGCCTTTTGCTTTTCTCCCACCATCACCCCTTCGGCTTTTCTCCCGCCATCTCCCACCTTCGGATTCTCTCTCTCTCTCTCTCTCTCTCTCTCTCTCTCTCTCTCTCTCTCTCTCTGTGTGTGTGTGTGTGTGTGTGTGTCACACACACACACACACAAAAAAAAAAAAAAACACAGACACACAAAAAGACAAATGTGGCAATGTATATTTCCATGTTGTAGCAGTACATTCATTCTATTTTGCTCATCGTAACGATG